CATTATTATCGATAAAGAGGCAGAATCTATACTTTTTAGATTTTTTGTCTGTCTATCTGCCTGTCTTTCAGTGACCGCATCACGAGAAAACAACTGGACAGATTTTGATGAAATTTGATATGATGATAGCTAGTTATTCGGGTCAAAATTTGGGATACTTTTTACTGCGGGAAAAATATCTCACCTTTGAGATATCTACACTAAACATTAGAAAATAACCACGTTGCTAGTTTTTATATTCAAAGGTGTGTTCGTATCCGATCGATCCATTCATTTTTTGATTCGATCCATGGGTAAATATGTTCAACTATAGTTGGATCTGGTAGGTGGCGTTGTCATTGAGATCCAATTTTTTTTAAAGGCTTTTGGACAGGACAAAGTCTGTAGGGACAGCTAGTATTACATAAAGGTAAGATAGGTTTATATATATTTTCTATCCGAAGAATGTAATGTTTATGTATTCAAAATGTCTTATGTATAATGGTTTGTATTTATTGCACTTTAAAACAGGAAGATGTTGTCAATGGACATGTTTTCCTTTTTTTTTAATTAATTATAAAAAATTAAGTAAAATATAACAAAAATATGCAAAAGTCATTAAAATATCTCAACAAATGAAAAAGTTATGAAACGTTAAAGTAGCGCTTGCGATAATAATTTCATGACCACACGACCTGAACGACCGACTTTATTATTAACTAGCGTTGCCCGCGGCTCCGCCCGCGTTCAGATGACCAAAAATCAAATTCTTAGGTTTTACATATTAGTATTATCTTACAGTGCAGTTTTTGTATTTTTTCTCAGAAATGTGATATTTTCCCGCGGTAGAAAGTATCCTATATGTTGACCCGGATAACCAGCTATTATCATACCAAATTTCATCAAAATCTGTCCAGTGGTTTTCTCGTGATGCGGTAACAGACAGACAGACAAACAAAAATTCTAAAATCTATAGATTCGGACTCTGTAACGATAATAATTTTTATTTCAATTAGATTTTCCAAAAAATATTTAATGTACAGATTCGACTTAGTTACAATTTTATTACATGTATAGATTTTCCAGTCATTGATTGATAGATTTCAAAAAATTGTTCAAAGATTTATTAGTTTTGATCTATATTATAATTTCATTACATTAAGTATGATATTATCAACATCAGGAAACTTCTCCATCCCGCTGAGTTTATGTACAGTCATAAAGCCCTGCATTACTTATAAGTTTGTTATTGTCTTTAAAATTTGTTATTTAATCAACTTACTTCCATTTAACAAATAGATATTTTAATGCAAAGGAGTTTTGATTTAAATAATAATTAAACGTCTCAGTCTTTATCTTATAGGCTTTAAAGTTTATAGCCCTGTTAAAAGAGGTCTCAAAATGGAATGAAGAAGGGAAAATTTAAAGAATTATTTATATAGAATAAAATATTATTAAACTTCTACGTTTTGGTTGTATTTAGTTTGAACTTCTTATTGCCATAGCATTTTGTTATAGAGTCTACAAAGTCTTCCGCCACGTCTGTCTGTCTGTTCGCGATAAAATCAAAAACTACTACACCGATTTTCATGCTGTTTTCACCAATGAATAGAATGGTTCTCGAGGAAGGTTTTGGTATTTGTTAAGTTTTTGTTTATATTGGCTTGGTATTACGACATTTATTGGAGGTGTCGAAAAAAAATAAGCCGTCTGGGAGCTTTCAAATATCAAAGCTTCAAATATCAGGATAAGTAGCTAGTTTGTAATAAAATTGACTTTAAATTGTTCAAAAAAAAACTAAAACTAACTCGTGTTGGGTTATCACAAGAAATAAAATAATGAATAGTTAAACGATACGACCATAAAGAACATTCTAGCATTAAAATATTTACAGTACACTCGCAAATTCCTGGATCGCAATTGAATCGATAATCTAAATTTAGCGTTTCCTACGTACAGGTGTTCCGGGTTATTCTCTTTGCGAAGAATAAATGGTTTGAAAATTATAAACAAAAGAACGTTTGAAGCGTTTATATTTAACTAGCGATTCAACCTCGCTCCGCTCGGGTGCGTCCTTAGATACGTTTTGACGTTTAGTATAGATTGCTCAGAGATGAGATATTTTCCCGCAGTATAAAGTATCCTATATATTGACCCGGATAACCAGCTATCATCATACCAAATATCATCAAAATCCGTCCAGCGGTTTTCTCGTGATTCGACAGACAGTCAGACAGACAAAAATTCTGAAAACTATAGATTCGGCCTCTATATCGATAACTAGCGGCTCACCCTCGCTTCGCTCGGGTTCACCTCTAGAAAAGCACAAACAGATCTATCCCACGGGGACCATTCATTTTTCCGGGATGAAAAGTAACCTGTTGTTTGACCGGCAATATAAGGTATCAGCATGCCAAATTTTACTAAATTAGGTGAATAAGTTGTTGTGTACTAAGCTGTATAAGTTACTATAGTTTTTTAACTATCCCACGTTAATTTTTCGGGATGTAAAGTAGCTGATTTGTTTTTGTCATGTATGAGCTACATTATTGTAAAGTTTCATTAAAATCCAATCTGTAGTTTTTGTGTACTAGGCTGTATAAATTGTTATAGTTTTTTAACTATCCCACGGGAACTCTTTAATTTTTCCGGGATGCAAAGTATCTAAGATGTTTGCACGGGGATATAAGGTACCACCATGCAAAATTTCATTTAAATCGGTCCCAATAGAATCGGAGATTAGCCCGTACAAACAGAAAACAGACAAACAGCTCGCTCGGGTTCGTCCATACCTACGAATATGTTGTATTATCTCTTTAACCATTTGTCCAAATTATATGCAGTAAAAGGGAAAAGTCTTTAGTTTTAAATATTTTAAACGATAAATTTACTTATTTTGATAAGAATTCATAATTGTTGATAATATGACCAATAAACATGACCTACCGATTTAATTTATTTTTGTAATATAAAAAACTACTCTTTGTAACTTAAATATAAAAGTTAGACATATGCTGTCGCGGACTTTTTTGTAGGCATTATTAAGCTCTACAACTTTTCTCTAGAACATAATCATATATCTCTCATCGTTAAGGCAGCGTTCGTAAGAAACGTTTTCGTTCGACCGTTTTTTCTCCGACTTACTTTGTAAATCAGACTACCACGAAAAAGCCTTTTCATTTTTCGGGTTAATATATAGCCTATGACACTCAGAAAGAACGTGGCTTTCTATTGGTAAAAGAATTTTGTAAATCGGTTCAGTAGATCCAGAGATTACCCCCTACAACGTCACAAACTCACAAACTCACAAACTCACAAGATCACAAACTTTACCTCTTTATAATATTAGTATAGATAATGACTATTTCAATAAGATTTTCCAAAACATATTTAATGTTCAGATTGGTCTCAATAAGAATTTTATTATATATATAGACAAAACGTAAAAATAGCAAGGATATGAACTAGTATTGTGTGATCATATCGCAACCATATGCATTTCTCATACATACAAAAATTAATATTATAATATATGCTCTTTTTACATACATACATACGGTTACCGTACCGTATTACAATATACGAAATTGCCTATTCATTAATAAAATAATTAAACTAGATTGGTTTAAAATTGACGAAGACATGTTATCATACATAGGTACAGATTAAAAAATAGAACCATACACCTGAATTGAATATCCCTTCCTTTTTGAAGTCGGTTAAAAATTGTTTGATTTTATTATTTATAAGCACTTTAAACAAAGAAATTGTGTTATTGTGTATAAGTCCATTTTAATTTTATTTTGTGTAGCTTACGGAGAATATTAAAAATTTCGTTTTATATGGGGATTTCCTTATAATAAATATCACATACATATTATATGGGGTGTAAGATATGACAATTTTGATATTTACTTTTTGATATATAGATATAAATATTTTTCACATAATAGAACATAAAGGTGCCTAATTAGAATAATATGTACAGATAGACTGTACAATATGTTATTCTTTGTTCTGCTGTAATAAACAAACAAGACTTAAAATTGTAAAATAATATGAGAATAACAGTTCTTCAATTTTATTAGAAATGTTACGGGAACACTTCGCTGATTTTGGTTTGATTTTAAACCTTCTTCTTTTGAACTTCGAGAGTATTTTCATTTAAATGAAAATGATAAAAATAATAAAACACGACGTAAAAAAATGAAAATAATATGTACACTAAATAATCACTTTTAGGTCGTTTTATTAATATAATTATTTATTAACATTTTATTAATTATAATATATTATTAATTATTTATTATTACGTTAAAAAGTCACATTATAATTTTATGTTGTGTTTTTATTCAGTATATTTCATATTCACTTCCCTTTATATACAGTCATGGCCAAATGGACCCAGTTATGCAAAAAACAGCCATGTGCGTAAAAGTACCAACAGAGTTATAAGCATTTTTCTGTCGATAGTTGCACTTGGGTTATGTTTTGTTTTTCTGATTATTATAAGATCGAACAATATTAATATAAGTATTGTTTATTTCTTATAATTATTTTATTTCTTATAATAAAATGCTTATAACTCTGTTGGTACTTTAACGCACATGGCTGTTTTTTGCATAACTGGGTCCAAATGGCGTATACACTTTGAATAATGACGGTATAACTTTAACTCGTATAGCCAATTGCTATATGGATAAGTAGCCTTGAGCCGATAGTATATCTAATCAATTACCGTAACAACTAAACAAGCAGAACTCATTTTTATTTAAATTGTATTGTTGATAGACTCCAGGTGTTATATTTAAATAACACTTTTTTTTATATTGATAGCTAATATTTCTTTAATTTCTCGTGCTTTTTCCCTTTTAATTATTACAATATTTTTTTCTAGGTAACTGTTATGAACAAAAGTTTGTTGTATCATTTGCTATGTTCCAATATGCACGCATAAAAATATACATGTAGGATATAAAAAAAGAAGTTGACTAACGCAAATAATGTATCCTTCCACTTACTTGTTGTGTAGCCGAAGTCATCTTCTTCTTCTGGATCTGCTTCCTTCTCTTCTCTACTTCTCTTGATAGCACCAGCGGATGCTCTGTCAATCTAGAAGACAGTTTTTTTTATTATAACTTAATTGCATAAGTAAATTAATTAAGCACTTAAGAGGCTACTTTCATCGAATTCAAACTTGATTTAGATATATAAGAAACATATTTAGCAAACTAGCATTGCCCGCGGCTCCGCCCCGCGTTCAGATGACCAAAAACCAAATTCTTAGGTTTCATATATTAGTATACTCTCACATTGCAGTTTTTGTATTTTTTTCTCAGATATGAGATATTTTCCCGCGGTAAAAAGTATCCTATATGTTGTTCCGGATAACCAGCTATCACCATACCAAATTTCATCTAAATCCCTCTAGTGGTTTTTCCGTGATGCGGTAACAGACAGACCAGACAGACAAAAATTCTAAAAATTATAGATTCAGCCTCTGTATCGATAATAATGTCTATTTCAATAAGATTTTCCAAAAAATATTTAATGTACAGATCCGGCTTAGTTAGAATTTTATTATATGTATAGATGTCAAATTGTACTATTTTTCCTATTTATCAGTCTACGTTTAATTATAATTTGTTTGCATCAGTAATTAATAATTATTTAGTATTATAACGTATAAAAACATATCATACCTCCACGCCTTTATCTGAATAGGTTCTTCCCTGTAATTCTCTATCATCTTCTTCATCACTGCTCTCAGAATCAGAATAAACACGTTTAGGGGGTTCTTGTTCTCCATTAACCGTTGGAGAGTCTTCTTTCTTTTCATTTGCTTCTCTTGCTAACTCTTTCTCTACTTCTGGTTCTGATGTCACTGTTATCTGTAGAAAAGTTTCTATTTTAAATACAATTTTTAGAAGTAAATGTGATATGAAATATTGATAATATTTATTTTTTATAATAATATTATAAAGAGGCAGTTTGTTTGTTTCTTTGTTTGTTTGAATGCGCTAATCTCAGGAACTACTAATCCGATTTGAAATATTCTGTTTGCATTAGATATCCCGTTTATTGAGGAAAGCTATTGGTTATAATATATCATCCCAGAAAAATGTACGGTTCCCGTGGGATAGATTTGTTTTTGTCTAGGGACGAACCCGAAGAGAAGCGAGGGTGAGTCGCCAGTTTTATTAATAAATTGGTCATGGTCGGATAGGACGACTTGTGTTCGTAACTTTTCAAAAAAAGAACGGACCTTTTATCCCCTAACAAAGGTAAAATTTAACCTTGACATATAGACCGACTTATTATTATTAATAGCAACAATTTACCTTTATCTCATGCTGTGGTGTGACTGGAGGCTTTGGCGCGGGAGTCTTCTTAAAGCTTGGTCGAGGACGAGGCTTAGTAGGAGGCGTGGTTTCATCCGAAGAATCAGTACTCTGAGCAAAGATATCGTATATTTTAATTTATAAGTAATTTATACATAAAATTACATGAATTATGCATATTTTTTAAGAAATTCCGTTATTAATAAAAGTATATGTATAGCAAAATACCCATTAAAAATGAATAATATTAATCAAGAAATTGATCATAATGTTTCTAAAAAAGTAGGCAATAAGAGTATAAACTGAAACATCACTCCTTTGTAATACTCATTTACTTAAATGGTTAACTAAAGCGCCTTTAGAACTAAAAATTTTATTAGGAAACTAGCATTATTATTGCCCGCGGCTCCGCCCGCGTTCAGGTGACCAAAAAAACAAATTCTTAGGTTTAACATATCAGCATACTCTTACATTGCAGTTTTTATATTTTTTCTCAGAAATGAGACAATTTTCCGCGGTAAAAAGTATCCTGTATGTGTATATAATAAGTGACCCGGATAACCAGCTAATGCCATACCAAATTTCATCAAAATCCATCCAGTGGTTTTTCCGTGATGCGATAACAGACAGACAGACAGACAGACAGACACAAGAATTCAAAAAACTATAGATTCGGCCTCTGTATCGATAAGGATGTCTATTTCAATAAGATTTCCCAAAAAATATTTAATGAACAGATTCGGTTTAGTTACAATTTTATTATATGTACTTATAGATAAGCGAAAGTGAAACATTAAGAAAAATACTATTACTGAATTGGTGTATGTACGTCAAGTATTAAGGGAATGGAAAAACTATGCAACTTCTTATCAAGTGGAACCGTTGGCAAAAACTAGTATGTATTAAAAATGATATTTAATTAGTTCTAATAAATGGAACAGGTCATAGATTAAGACTTAGATAGCTAGAAGCGAAATGCTTAAAAATGTGCATAGTAAAAACATGCAGTTGTACGCTTCTTCATACGAGCTGCAATGTTTATTCAGTGTTGCCGCGAGTTGCACATTTTTATGTATTTTTTAAGGATTTCAAGAAGGGAATTTTACAGAAGTTGTTTTTTTCTAATTACTCGTGTCTGTTCTTAGGTGTTTTTTTTTATTATTATATTATTATTTACACAGGTAGCAACACCGTTTTATTTCGAACAGTAACCTATGTGTTACTCCACTTCAGTGTTAACTGTGCACTAAATTTTATCTTAAGCCGTCCAGCCGTTTTATTGTGAAGGAGTAACAAACATACACGACGTAACGTTTGGCTTAGTTTGTAGTGACCCTACTTGCTGTGCAGGCGGTCGTGGGTTTTAATCCTGCTGGGAGAATTCATTTGTGCGATAAGTATGAATGTTTGTACTAAAGTCATAGGTGTTTATATTTATATTATATATGTATTTAAAGTTATATATGTGTTGTGTATCAACTATCTGGTATCCATACCATGGAACTAGATGGAACTATGGAACTAGATGGTGCTATGTGTTTATGTTCACCTTTAATTCAAATTTTCACCTTTATATACTATGTGATAACTTACCCATGTCATAAGGCTTTGCACAGTTAAAGTGACTGTATCGCGAGCTGCCTTGATCAGTTCTACGGCTCTTTCATGCTGCGCAGTCCTCACACACACCCCATCTACTTCGAGGATCCTATCACCCGTCTATATAGAAATATAATATCTATAACATCTTTTTAAAGCGTAAAATTATAACATTCAAAATATATTAAATCAAAGGTGCTATTTAAAGTGACCTTCGGCTTTTATTGTTGCTACAGTTCTAAATTCTTATGTTATCTATATATATAAAAGAAAGTCGTGTTAGTTACACTATTTATAATTCAAGAACGGCTAAACCGATTTCGCTGAAACTTGGTGGGGAGGTAGCTTAGAACCAGGAGACGGACATAGGATACTTTTTAGCCCGTTCGACTGCGTTCCCGTATACAAGACTCAAGAACGGCTGGACCAATTTTTATGATATTTGAATTTTTGGATTTCTCTCATTCCGGAATAGGTTAATACCTAAGTATTAAAACGTCAGAAAAATTAACGAAAAAAATATATTTATATGGCTAATAACACTGGCTAATAACTATTTATATCAATTTAAAACGTACCTAGCGACGAACCCGAGTGAAGCGAGGGTGAGCCGCTAGTTATTCTCTAATAAATTTAAATTATGAAGTTGAAACTCGAAAATATAAAAAATATAAGCTAAGATACCACAGAGTAACCAAATGATTCAATAGATTTGATATTAGAGAAATTACTATCCTAAAATTTAGAAGAGAGTAAGCTTGGAAGGTGGCTAAAGCTTGCTTTAGGTGAGAGAAGGCGCATAAGATGACCCCAACAAAGACCATGATCGCAACAACTATATACTGTATAGCATTGTGTTAGTAGTATATCTTGTGATATTAAGTGATAAAACTAATTTTTAATATTCTATTCATAAAGGGATTAAAAAGTTATCGTAAATTCTGATAAAAAATTTTTTTTTAGTTTCGATCTTAATTTTGTACACACTAATGAAGTAGAGACATTCATCAGACGTGTTTGATTATTTAAAAAAAAAATCCCTAGAAGGTAAACGGGGTATTGGTTGTTTGTTAAAAGACACGTAGAGGAAGCCGGGTGTACTTAGTATATATTATTATATTATATTGCTAAAATCTCACTTGTAACTGGCCACTCTGAGATGCCGGACTATTTGGTACCACATTCTTGATGAAGATGCCGAATATAGCTTTCTCACTACCATTTTCTCCATGTTGGTTTGCGATTATATCGACCTAAAAAAAAGATATATTAAAAATTGTGGTATCATAATACTTTCCTAGATTAACGCGAATATTTGACATTTTAAATAAAACTATCTTTTCGGATTATGTCGCGATTTTACTTTGATTTTTAAACGTTTGGTTTTGAAACGTCGGGAACCAAAAATCAAAATAAATTCGCGAAAAGATCCGAAAAGATAGTTTTATTTAAATTGTGTTATCATAAATTAAAACTCAAACATTCGTCAAAATATAAAAAAGATATCAAAACTGTGTTGGCTATCCTATTAATTTTATAACACTATTGATATTATATAAAAAGCAAGAATATCGATAAGGCCTAATTTCCGCCCCAGAAGAACAGTGAGAGTACTATATAAAAAAAGTTGAAATGTTACTTAAAATGCATCATTTTGAACGAAAATCCCATTTAGACCAAAGTTTGGCGTCTCATGAGTAGTATTAATCGTAGTTTTTTTTTCTCTCATAAATATATTTACTTATCAGGCATACAGTCTACTTCTAGAAAAGAAAAATATCAATTCGTATGACATATTTTTTCGTTATTCTGCGGCGGAAATATAGCTTTATCGATATATAATACTTCCTTTATTTATAAATACGCATGAACCAATTTGAGTAAAACTTTATATACAGATACATACAGCATATCCAAGAAATGTAATTAATTCGGGGTATTATTATATATAATATAGTATATTTTAACTTTGTTGTCTAATATTATTAACTTTGAAATTGATCAATAGATGGCGCTGTCCAATAATATAATATCAAAAAACAGCACTTCCGGACAAAACCACTTTCGTTCAAAATATAATTAATCTAATATATTTACATATAAATATCTCGTGTCACGGTGTTTGTGGTCGCACTCCTCCGAAATGCTCGACCCATTTTAATTAATTTTTTATTTTATATTTGGAAGGTATGAGAATAGGTCGTAAAGTATTTTTCACCCTCCCACCCCCACCCCCTATTTTTTAAGCAATTAAGTAACCACACTTTTAAAGTAACGCGAAACGAGGGTGAGTCGCTAGTATTCTAGAAAAATATGGCACCTTTCCACCAACAATGCTGACTCCAAGCGGTGCGCCGGGACGTCTTCTCAAGGTCACTCTCCGCGGCGGACCCCATCTCTGCCCTGAACTCTCGCGTCGGTCTTTTGACACTGTTACCGTCATCGTTGGTGACACGTGACTGTTGACAAATTAAATCATTAATAAAGAAATAAATATTTTAATTACAACTCTGTTTGGAAGTTGAAGTTCAGACAGACACACTCTCTCTTCTCTCTCTCTCTCTCTACACATATATATATATATATATATATAGACCTATACATAGCAATACCCTATTAAGTTAGGTTGAAGAACAATAATGTTGCAAAACAAATATGCTCCGATTACAAGTTTAAGTTTTAATTGAGTATAATTTTGAAATATTTCAAAATTAGAAGTTATATTCCTAGGTGTTTGTTTGGATGTTGTGAAAGATACGATATACTTATTAATCATTGTAAGCCGATATTCATGTTTTTTTAATAGGATTGACTTCAAAAGAGATCCCTAAATTAAAGGCAATACGCTATCAAAAGCTGCGCTAGACGTGTTGTACGACGATATTTAGAATCTATTGCGTCGTTTATGAAAATAAATGTAAAAAAAATAAAAATAAATTATACCTATCTTCAACATTTTCCGTCATATTACACGATTAATATAGTTTTTTAAAACGAAATAAAATTCAAAAGTATTGCTATAATCATGAAAATTTTTCTTATTCTTTGCATCTACACATGAATTACAACTCTTATAAAAGTATGGTTAACACCATTTGATAGATCATTTTCAAATTGATATTTTACACGTTTATTTTTTTGAAAAGGACAATTTTAACTTTGTTTTGGACCAATATTCAGAAATCAATAAAAATTTCCAACTGAAGGAAGTTACTGCGCAGGGGCCGGGCAGACAATAGGCTGATTGTTTAAAGTCATTTCCTCGGGGGATGGCCTTAAAAAAATTTATTATTATTATACATATTTCTCCTACGGTTTACATAAGTACTTTTTATAGTTGCTTTTATATGGGCAATCCCTTAGGTCTAATATCGTTACGTTAATATGATTGATGTTTCAACCATCAGATTAAAATTATCCATCAACTAATTTATATAAATGTTAAAAGTTGTGAAATTAGATATGTATGTCTTAATGATTAATGCTTGAAGTACAAATGATTTAGAACATAATAATAAACAAAAAATGCCTTATTTAATTTAAGTAAAATAAAATTAAAAAAAATCTTTGGAAAATTAATTTCTTATTGAATGTACTTCTTTTATAAGTACTGTAACAAAAATACTGTAATGAAAGTAGATAATACCTTTATAATATAACTACGATAAAATTTATCAACGATGCTTCAAAATATGTGACTTCATGACCCAATTTAACGACGATGCTTCAAAATATGTGACTTCATGGCCCAATAATAGGCAGTGAAGTCAATGTGAAATTGAAAATCTTATAATGCATTCAATCAATCTCTTGACAAAGACCAATTTCAACGAAGCATGCTAAATTGGCAAATAGATAGGTACTTCCAAAGGACAAACAAAGTTATACTCATATATTTAACTAGCACCTTACCCTGATTTCGCTTGGGTTCGCCTTTAGTTGTTTAACAGTATTATGTGTTATTCCAAGTCATTATCTATATACAAAATTTTATCTAAATCCGTCCAGCTATTTCAATATGAAGAAGTAACAAACATACACACATACAAACTATAAATAATAGCCCGACTACGGACTAATAGATCGATGGTTACTGATACCTACTCATATACGTATATATGTAATTCCGTTTGTGTGATTGTTTGTATATAAAACATGAAATTTAGTATGCTGGGGGTTTCGGGGGCGATAAATCGATCTAGATGAGTCTTATGTCTGAGAAAACGCGTGTTTTCGAGTTTTCATGCAGTTTTCTTTTCCATTATTCCACGCAAAATATGGTCGGTAATTGCACGCTCGGACAATTAAGCATCGTAGTCCAGCAGCCAAGGTGCAAGATCGACACAGGTATTCAGGTTCGAAACCCGGTCGCATACAAAGTTTTTACTTTTGTTTTTTTTTATATTTATTCAAGTTTTTAGTTTAAAAAAATAAAATAGTAGGTACTTTAGGGCAAAAACTCCGAGCGAAGCTCGATAGCCCAGGTACTATACATAATGTGAGAAATTGCTGTAAAATTTCTTTCGTCGCAGATTTTATCTACTAATTTCCTTTGTAGCTTTTCTATTTTACACCATTGACGAAGTAAACAGTCTACGCTCAATTAGCATGTCTAAAAAGTGTAAACAATTCTTTGGATTATTATTTTCGACGCAGATAAATTCGTCAGTTTCAAGAGTAAGAATTCAATGAAAAATATGTTTTTTTTTTCTATTTTCTAAAATTCTAACATTCAAAGAACAATTTTTAAGAAATTTACTATAACCATTTGATATAATATACTATGCCTTTCAAATTCCGATCTCTGTACTATCAAAATGTCAAATGATTTGGTTTCTCCGTGGCGTCAAAAACAATCAACATCTATCAGGCATCTATACTAATAAATAATTTTATAATAATTAATTGGTAAGAAAATAGTTTGAGACCCTGGGAAGGGCAGAGGATAGGTTTTATCCCGGAAATCATCCCTTAAGGGGATGAAAATTGGGATCAAAGTTTGTATAGGGTAGCAACCTCATAATACCACATAAAGTATAGTTTATTATTTTCAATTGAGTGGTCGCTTGATAGGTAATCCGATTAATAGGATTAACAGTAATAAGGTTTCTATTTACGAACAGATTGACAGATATGCGGTGACGTAACATTGCTAAATTAAGAAATAACAAAAATTTCTCACCTATCAGCAAACATTACTCGTTTTTTCATTATCATCTTTAATAAAATTCCGCTGTGTGTTTGTTTCTAATTCTTCTCCTCCGAAACGGCTTGACCGATTTTGATGATTTTTTGTATAATTATAGGATCAACTCGATGATTCTTAGCTATAGTTGGACCAGTTGATGGCGCTATCTATATCCAGATATTTTTTCAACTTTCCAGCCAATTTTTTCTATATTTTTTTTAGATTTCTCACATAAAAAAAAATTATAAAATTTCAAAATTTCTGCTGTAAAAGCCCAGAAAATTAGGAAGTTTGGGAAAATTCTATGAATTCAAAGACTACAAATAAAATTGTTGAATTTTGGACAGGACGACGACTGTCGGGTCTGCTAGTTTCATGGGGAAATCGTATCAGTGTAACAATTTTTACGCGAATGCCGCGTGTCCTCCAATCCTCACGTTTAAGCCTCTTAGCCTAAGTTAATTAAAACGTTAACTTAATTATCTAACAGAGGGTATATAATTTCTTGCGGTGTAGAATTGTAGGTGCTGCAGGTGATATGAAATTAAATATACAAGTGATATATTTTAGAACATTTGAAAAAAAGGTATTTCGTGTTTGTAAATTTTTTTTTTTGGGACATTAACACACAACACCATCTAGTTCCATGGTAAGCTACGATGCTTGTGTTATGGATACCAGATAGTTGATACACTACACATATATAGCTTTAAATACATACATATTATAAATACATTTTTAGGGATCTGTAGGCAAAGGCCAAACTAAACGCTTAGAAAATGGTCATTTCCGTCTGATCGTCTGTCTGTCTTGACTCAAAACCTCTTAGTGTACATGAAGTTATAATTTATGAAAATATCTGCTGTGATGTCAAATATAACGTAATGTGAATATACGTAGCATTTCACATAATATTTTTAACTAAAATTACTGTTTTGGTGGAGTTACGATTAGTATTATTTGGAAAATCTTATTGAAATAGACATTATTATCGATACAGAGGCCGGAGCTATGGTTTTAAGAATTTTTTGTCTGTCTGTCTGTCTGTCTGTCTGTTACCGCATCACGGAAAAACGACTGAAGGGATTTTGATGAAATCTGGTATGACGGTAGCTGGTTTATTCGGGTCAACATATAGAATTCTTTTTACTGAGGGAGAATATCTCATTTTTGAGAAAAAATACAAAAACTGCAATGTAAGAGTACACTAATATGTAAAACCTAAGAATTTGGTTTTTGGTCATCTGAACGCGGGCGGAGCCGCGGGCAATGCTAGTTTATCATATTACGTTTAAGAAATATGTAGTATGTAAAGTACATACTACATATTTCTTAGAAACAAACTTCTTTTAGTGGTCGTTTAAATGAGTAAATATTATATTTGGATGGATGTTTGTTACTCAATCACGCCAGAACTGCTTAACGCATCTGGATGAAATTTGGCACAGAGATAGATTATAGTCTGGACTAGCACATAGGCTACTTTTTATCCCAGAAAAATGTACGGTTCCCGTGAGATTGATTTATTTTTATTTTTCTATTCCCTTCTTCTTTTCTAGTATTAATAATAAAAATATTTCGTGGTACGAAACGGTAAGACAATCGCAATTTTCCAATTTTTTTAGTAAGAGTAAACGTATTAGACTGAATTACCGTAAATTAACTGAAGAAATTACTTTATTCTTAAAAGGAACGAGCGGAAAAAACTCTAATGGGATAATAAACTGGGCCTAATGAGTTTTTTTTTATTAATAGAATGATTAAGAAAACTCATTGAGATTTTTTTTTGCTATCCATATAAATACTACATTTTCCTTTTTAATTAAAAGAACTTGCTCACTTTTAAATGTTAATATTGCCCGCGGCTCCGCCCGAGTTCATATGACCAAAAACCAAGTTCTTAGGTTTTACATATTAGTATATTCTTAAAATGCAGTTTTTGTATTTTTTCACAGAAATGAGACATTTTCCCGCGGTAAAAAGTATCCTATATGTTGACCCGGATAACCAGCTATCATCATACCAAATTTCATCAAAATTGGTCCAGTGGTTTTCTCGTGATGCGGTAACAGACAGATAGACAGACAGACAAAAATTCTAAAAACTATAGATACGGCCCGTCTACCGATGATAATGGTTATTTCAATAAAATTTCCAAAAAAATATTTAATGTACAGATTCGACTTAGTTACAATTTTATTATATGTATAGATTTAAGAGTGGAACAGTACAGTCACATTTAAAGAAAATATAGCAAATATATTTAAGGTA